GGTGTCAGCTAAGAAAGTTCAAGTTTGCTTAACCGAAGTGACATACCTTGGGTACCACTTGTCAAGAGGCCAACGTACCTTGACCAGTGACAAAAAACAAGTGATTCTCCAGATCCCGACACCATGGGCAAGTCCAGGAATTCCTGGGGGCAGCCATTTATAGATCCCAGGCTTTGCCAAGATTGCAAAGTCCTTGTATGCTGCCACAGCCAGCGATGGGCCCATAACTTGGACTAACATAGAAGATCAGGCTTTTAAAGCTGTAAGGCAGGCTCCTGTCACAGCACCACCATTAGCACTCCCAAACATCACAAAGCCATTCCACCTATTTGTTCATGAAGTGAAAGGCACAGCTAAAAATACAAAAGATCTAGAAGCCCCCCAAAAGAGCAAGAGGGTGGTTGCAACTTCTAGATGGCCAGATCTGCCTATCAGACCCCGTAAGAGGAGGTAATTACAACAACAACAGTCAGCAACTCACCTGAGGCAAGAAAATGCAAGAACTCTTGTGACCAAAATACCCATTTAAAGGTATGGCAGAAGCCATCTGGTCAACTGCCTCTCGGTGTGCAGCATGTGAAAAGGTGAATGCCAAAGCCAACGGAGGCTTCCACTGGAAATCTTCCTCAGAGGACATAAGCCGGGACAAAGTTGAGAAGTCAACTTTACTGAAAGCAGCCAGCCAGCAAAGAGTATGAATACCTTCTTGTGCCAATAGACACATTCTTAGGGTGGGTAGAAGCCTTCCCCACCAGAAATGAAACTACTTTAACTACTGCCAAAAAATTCTTAAATGAAATCATTCCTACGTAGGGACTGCCCCTTTCTATTGGCTCTAATAATGGGCTGGCTTTCAATTCTGCCATAACCAGGCCATTAGTAAAGCTTTAGAAATTCAGTAGAAACTCCACTGTGCCTATCAGCCCCAAAGTTCAGGCCAGGTAGAAAGAATGAATCAGACCCTAAAAGAAACTTTAACCAAACTATTGAAGAGACTAGTGAAAAGTTAGCTCCCCTTGTGGTCCTACGTGCTAGTATACTCCCTACCAGGCAGGTTTTACTCCCCATGAGATCATGTATGGTAGACCCCCTCCTTGCTCCCCCATATCATGATCCCCAGATAGCAGACATAACTAACCACTTGCTTGGAAGTATCTCCAGTCTCCTTCCCAGGTCCTGAAAGATCTTCACTCCCAGATTCCAGACTTATCCAGATCCTAAGCCTTCTGGTGAGGAACCCAAAACTGCTTTCCAGCTTGGTGACCAAGTCTATATCAAGTCCTTCCAGAAGGAAGGACTGACCCCACAGGGGAAAGGCCCATTCACTGTCATCCTCACCACCCTAACCACTGTGAAAGTCCATGGCCAGATGGCATGGATCCACCACCCCCGGTGAAAAAAGCAGAAGTGGACATTGGAGTCTCCTGGACTGTGGTGCCTGGAGAAGGTTCTCTCAAGCTAAGACTGTTAAAATCTTGATTTCCTCTCTCTGTGTTCTCTCAGTTTTAAAATTCCTTCCCCATCCCCTCACTTCCACCTCCTCATACTCTTGTACTGTCAGAGGAGAGAGGGAAAGTAGTAACAAATATATCCTGGGAAAAAATGTTAAAATCAAGGACCCTCAAGCCCTGCCTTCCACTTTGACCTATGCAGGCTGTTCAGCCCATACCAAGGCACCCACACAAAGGAGCTGGTGTTAAATGTCTTGTGGCGACAGATGCCAAAAACACAGGTGTAGAACAACATGACTTGAATGAAGAGTACAAATCAGTGGCTTCAATCTTAATAATACCAAGAATGTGGCTAGGCACCTGTGGCTCAAGCAGCTAAGCTGCCAGTCACATACACCTGCGCTGGCGGGTTCAAATCCAGCCGGGGCCCACCAAACAACAATGATGGCTGCAACCAAAAAAAAAAATAGCCAGGCGTTGTGGCAGGCCCTGTAGTCCC